TAAAGCTTGGTCTTTGAGAAAGAAATCTTTAAGGATGCATTTTACTCTATCAAATCAAATTATGTCAATAAATGTTAAATAAATGTTATGATCATCTTTTAGGAAATTGTATGACTTGTAAAAATGCAGTCTATTGTGGAAATATCATTTGAAAAAGTTTACTTATTCACCCTAAAAGGCAAAAGATTTTAGGTCAAATACAATGATCAATGCTGGATTCCTTGTTATAATGCACTTTCTTCATTCATATTAAGACATTGTAGACTATAAGAGTAGAAAGTGATTATTATAAGTGATTATTGTGCCCAAAGAAAAAAATTTATCAATAAAATATAATAATTAACATATACATATTTAATGTATAATATATATTGTGCAACACATATTGATAGGGACTGGGCCTGAGATTTCACTGATATAGGTAAATCCCAAGAGAAGGAATTTTCTCTAACTTTGTAGGTTGGCACTTTCTTTTCTTACAGAGCTGCCTGGAACACTGAGGTTAAATGATTTGCTCAGGCCCACACAACCAGCATGTCTCTGAGACTGGTTCTCTATCTACTATGCCAAGATATCCTCCATGGATATATACATATATCCACATTTTTATATATGTCTATTTACATGTATATACGTAGGTGTAGATATCTGAGTCAGTAGAGAGTGATGGCCTTTAGACCAATTCTTATTCTTTTTTTTTTTTAGGCAATGGGTTGTGACTTTCCCAGGGTCACACAGCTAGTAAATGTTAAGCATCTGAGGCTGGATTTGAACTCAGGTCCTCCTGATTCCAAGGCCAGAGTTCTCTATTCACTGGGCCATCTAGCTGTCCCTAGAGCAATTATTCTTGATGATCATAAAAACAATATCATTTTCTAGTAGTTCAGTATCTTCACATATGTGTGTGTGCATTTATATGTATATGTTTGTGTGTGGACATACACATATAGGTTTCTGGGTCAGTAGAATCTGATATCTTTTAGACTATTTTCAGTAGTCATAATATAAGTGATTTTTTCCCAATTGTTTGGTGTGTTCTACTCTTCTAGATACATTGAAACAGATCTCCACTGTGATTGCTTCTTCTAGCCCAGATGTTCTGCCAATTATTTTCTGTAGTGCCATTTTGACTTTTTCATATGGTGATGCCCAAATGTGGTGGTTCCATTGTCATTGATGTAAAAAATAATTTGTTACATACAAATATTAACAGATCCCTTTCAGTCTTTAAATGATCATTGTACTCCAAGTTTCAACCTTAAATTCTCTCTAGATCCTGTTTAATGGGCTGCATACCAAGTTTTACATAAACTAATTTATCTTTCACAATTTCTCTCTTTTTCTTATCAGTCGCTTATTTTAAAATTATTTTTGTTATTCTGAATTTGACAAATACCAGCAAATGCCAGAAAATGAGTGAAGATTTCTACACACTAAGAACAGAAAAAAGAAGATGGCATATGAAACTAAGACTTTCTCATTGCTTATTTAAGAAAGTCAGACTTCGACAACAACTCACTGATGTTTTTAGCTTGGACTTGTAATACTTATAATTCATCTTCAAATCTAAGCTGCTTTCACATTAACTTTCCCACTTTGAAGATCTATTTTAAAATCTGAATCGTTATGTAATTAACGAGATGGAGGGAGAACAGCTCTCTTACCATGATTCTTCTGTTTTCCATTTGTTATATATTCCTGACTGAGAGGAGACACAGGTAAATTATTTCTTCTGACCATTTCTGTCTCATTCCTGGCATACAGAAAACACTTAATAAGTGACTTTAGATTTACTTAATTTAATTCCTTGGGAACTGTTCTGCCTTTTATTTGATGCCATCTTAGTGAAGAAAGTTGATTTTGGTCTTGATTCATTCTTCTTCCTCATCAGTAAACAGCAAAACCCAGAGTGTATAGCCATAATTTCATCCATTTCTGAAAACATTTCACATATAACAATTTGTTCTGCATGTTAGAAATTGTGAGATTCTTAATAAATAATAGGCATAAAATCATCCACCTTAATCTTTAAGATGCTTTATTCTTTTTAAAGTTTTATTCTACTCCACCAACATAGTGTAGAGAAAGATGATCTTGGGCTTCTTAAATGCTCTGAAAATTTTACTGGGTTTTACCAAGTTGGAAAGACTGGTGATGGAGTGGATGTCTGAGGCCCAATCTAGTTAAGTTCAGAGAGACTTAGCATCAGGCTGGCTTCAAGGGTGATTTTTGGCCACGTCAGATTCACAAAGACCATCTACTAAGTTACCAGGAAGTTAAACCATATGTGTGGAGAAAGCTAAATAGTTCAGTGAATAAAGCACTGGGCCTGGAGTCAGGAAGACCTGACTTCAAATCTGGGGCCTCAGACATTCACTAGCTCTGGGCAAGTCACCTCAACCTTTGTTTGCCTTAATCCCCTGGAAAAGGAGATGACAAATCACTCCAGTATCTTTGCCAAGAAAACCCCATGGACATTATTGATGTTCTATGGTCCCCAGGGTGATGAAGAGTTGGACATGACTAAATGACTGAACAACAACACAATCAAATGTGTATGTGAAAGCATACCATAAGAATTGGAGATCCCTAAAGGACTGAATATGCATTTGTTAATGGTGTATCAGAATCGTCGAATTCAATGAAGTCCTTTAAACACAAAATGTATAATCTTTTCTATGTTGTGTGACTGATTTGATTCTTTACATTACAAAGACAAAGTTAGTAATGAATATTCAAAACAGCACCACCCATTTTACAGATCTTCATTTAAATTGCCTGTTGAAAACTTTCCCATGAAAAAATTTCCACCTTTATCTTTTCAAATGACCTTGATTTCTAGGTAGTATATAACAATGGGGTGGAATGAATAACAAATTCTCCAAAGCAAGGAGATACAACAATTGTTCATCTCTGACACAGATCTTAGACTATTCTAAACCTTCAATATTTGGGATATCTTTAATGTTGTATACCCTGAGACTGATTTTAAGTGTTGCAGTCTAAGCAACTATGTGGTGCAGTGGATTAGCACAGGGCCTGGAGAAAGATCTGAATTCAAATCTGGCTTCAGATCACTACTAGCTTGACTTTGAGCAAGTCACTTAACCTCAGTTTCTATATCTGTAAAGTGAGCATAATAATTGCATCTACCTTCCAGAACTGTTGTGAGGATCAAATACAATAATATTTGTAAAGCACTTGCCACAATGCCTGGCACATTGTAAGAGCTATATAAAAATGTTAGCTACATAACAGTAATAATAATTGTTATTATTATAATTATTATTTATAATGTATGAACTTCATATGTGAGTCTCTTTCTTGAGAAAGAGGTCCCTCCTGGACATAGGAAACATTCCTATCAAAAATAAAGAAAATATGATACCTTTCACTTAACCTGCACCACTCAGTAACCCATCCTTTTGTGCAGCAATGCAGGTGCAGAGTAAGAAGATAGAAGGAGAAAAAAGGAGAAAATATTGAACTTAAAGAGAGGCTACAATGTTCATTGTTTAATCTTAATCAGGTCGATAGTAGTTTTTGGTTAGTACAATGAAAGTTAAGATAGTTTATTTTCAAATCATTGAATCATGGTTCATCTCCTTCAGTTTCTCCTATGAATGCCTGTTCTGACAGTGGGACATTCACTTGAGACTTTCTAGTACTGAACTATGTTTTCTCATTGATAAAAGCTGCAGTCAAAGATGTGGTGGCTCAAAAGTTTCATGGCTGGCACAATCCTAGCAACTTGAGATCAGTATGGTGGTGAGTGAATAGAAGGAATCAGCCTTTTTGACAGACATCTTATCAAGCTTGCCAATATAGGAAACCAACTGTTTCCAAAAAATCCTTTCCCCCTCATTGGGGCCTATTCTTCACATTAAACTAAAAAGTACTAAAATTGTAGATCAGAAAACTCAGCTTTGCCAGATATATTTAAGTATTCTTCATCATAATTTTGTGACAAAAAGTAAAAAGGCTCTCTATTATCTCCTTTTCTTACATTAAATTTGGTAGCTATACTCCCAGTGATTCAATTTGATAATGACAATCAGACTGAGTGTCCACCCTCCAAGTGTGGAGTCAATGGACCAGGGTGCCCTTTTGGCCACTAGGTGTATTCAATATCTCAAGACTCTTGCTGATTTTGAGAGATCACGGCATGCAGAATATGTCAGGATTGAGGATCTAAGACCAGCTTATATGTATGAAGAATGAATGTTTTGGGGACTTCATTGTTGCAATATTTTAGATGTTTCTGGATATTCAGTACCTAGCAGTCCTCTTGTAGAGAGTACCCAATGAGATCTGAAGATCTGGGGTTAGAATCCAGTCTCTGCCACATACTAGATGTATAACTATATAGGATAAATTTTAATGTTGGAAGCTTCCATTTTCCCATTTATAAAATGGTAGCATTGTTGCGCACTACTACCTACCTCACATAGTTATGTGGAAAGTGCTTTGTAAACCTTAAAATGTTATATAAATGTGAATTGTGCTTCTTTAAAAATGGGGCTGATAGCACATTGTCTACCTCAGAGAATGATCACCAAATGCTATCACAGATGTAAAACAAATATAAACCTATGCTTGTAATTATTGTTATCATAGTGGTACTTGAGTAAATGATTGTTGAGTATGATGTTGTCACCCTAGAAACAAATTTTGCCAAATCTTGTCTTCATAATTTTCCTTTAATAATTTCTCCCTTTTTAATGCCTAACTTGTGTCATAAAGAAGTAAAAGATTTATATCTATCTAAAAATACCTTCACTGTACACTAAAATTCTAAAGCAGAGACATAAGTGATACATGATGAAGACCATTGTCATGGTTTCTTCACAAATGCCCCCATTTAAACTATTTCACGATTAAATTAAACACATAGATCTATGGAACATATCATCTTCATAAGAGAATACTTTCACACTGATGGAGAAACATGCTAATATATTAAAATTCCAAAAATTAAAATTGTAAAAGAAGATTCCCACCTTAATGAAGGCTTGCTCTTCATTTGCTTTGTTGCAGGCATCCCAAGACATAATAGATTCTCTTTGATCAGATCCTTGCTTACTGGTAAATTCCTGTGAATTACTTGCTGAAAATTTTAAATGGCTCTTCCGAGAGTCAATGGTAGAGGAAACCTCATGTGAATAAGTCTGGAGAAATGCTTGTACTCCATCTATGCCCAGGAACCGAGAGACTTGAACACTTTCCAGATGGGTACTTGCTGATCCGAGCTCCATATGCCGCCTTCGAAGCCGGAGTGCCAATAACAGGATAATGAAAGAAAAGAATAGGCAGGATACTGCAGCTACTGCGATGACCAGGTAGAATGTGAGATTGGAGTCATTTGGAAATTCAGGGGTCATTAGGTTGCTGAGATCTGAAAGGATCTCAGGGATACTATCAGCCACTGCAACTGTAATACTGATAGTGGCAGAGAGAGGAGGCTCCCCGTTGTCTGTGACAGCTACTACCAGAGTTTGCTTGATGGAGTCTTTACCCAGGAAAGCCCGGGTAGTCGTTATCTCACCCGTGTGCAATCCCACTGAGAATAGCCCAGGCTCTGTGGACTTCAGTAGACGGTAGGACAGCCAGGCATTCTGGCCTGAGTCTCCATCCACTGCTACCACCTTGGTCACCAGGTAGCCTGGCTCTGCAGCGCGGGGGGCCAGCTCCACCCCACTAGAACCATCTGTAGGGAAAGCAGGATACAGGATTTCTGGGGCATTGTCATTCTGATCCAGGATGAACAGAGTAAGGGTCACATTGCTGCTGAGAGGAGGGTCCCCAGAGTCTCTGGCTGTCACTCTCAGCTGTAGCTGCCTGAATTGTTCATAGTCGAAGGAGCGCAGAGCATAGAGGACACCAGTCTCAGAATTGATGGAAATATAGGAAGAGAGTGGCGATCCCTGGAAAGTCTCGTTGGCAATTGAATAAGTGACTCTAGCATTATCTTCGCTGTCTGCATCACTTGCCTTGGGAGAAGATATTGTAGCTCCAGGTAAATTGTTTTCCATTACATAAGCTAAATAGTGACTTTGGTGGAATACTGGGGGATTATCATTTTTATCTGACACCTGCAGTTGTATCACTTGGTAAGAAGTCAGGGGTGGATCCCCTCTGTCTTCCGCAGTGATAGTGATATTGTAGCCCAGAATTCGCTCCCTGTCCAGTATTTCAATTGATATCAAACTGTAATAGTTATCAAATGAACTTGAAATCTCGAAAGGAACTTGTCTGGAAATAGCACACCGGATCCGACCATTTTCTGCAGAATCTCTGTCATGGACGTTAAAAAGGGCAATTATAGTCCCAAGTGGAGAGTCTTCTGGGACTGGACTGAAGAGGGAAGTGATGGTGATTTCCGGGGGGTTGTCATTAACATCTGTCACTCGAAGTAAAATGTGGGCCAATGCAGAAAGTCCTCCTCCGTCTATGGCCTGCACTTCCAGCTCATGCAACTGATCCGCCTCGAAATCCAGGCTTCCTACTATTTTGAGCTCTCCACTCGTGGGTCCGATTTGGAACAGCAGGGAAGAGGCCTCAGAGAGTTTTATTAGCGAATAAGTTATCTCGGCGTTGGAACCTTCGTCACGGTCCGTGGCCTGCACCTTGACCACCGCTGTGCCCGTTTGCACATCCTCAGGCACGCTCACCTCATAGAGAGAGCGCTGAAACCTGGGCGCATTGTCATTCACATCTAACACCCGGATCCGAATCTGGGTTTCTCCGGTTCTCGCCGGATCCCCGCCGTCAGTGGCTATGAGGAGGAGCTGATGCTCAGCTTGCTCCTCCCGGTCCAGAGCTTTTTCCAATACCAGCTCAGCATATTTGGTACCACCAGCTTTCGTCTGCACATTGAGGCTGAAATGTGTGCTGCGGCCAAGGAGGTAATTCTGGAGAGAATTGTTGCCTATGTCGGGATCCTGGGCATCCTGGAGATGAAAGCGGGCCCCTGGAGTGGTTATTTCTCTGATCTCTAGCAAAATTTCCTCCACAGGGAAGGTGGGCGAATTATCATTTATATCTAAGATTTCCACTTCTGCATGTACCAACTTTACTGGCTCCTCCATGAGAACCTGGAGAGTCATCAGACACTGAGAGATTTGTCCACACATGCTCTCTCTATCTATTTTCTCACTGACATATAAATGACCGTTTTGTAAATTCAGAGTGAAATGCTGCTTCTTACCTCCTGAGACAATGCGAGCTCCGCGCTCGGACAGTTCTTGTGGCTCCAGCCCCAGGTCCTTTGAGAGGTCGCCCACAAAAGAGCCCTTGTCCATCTCCTCGGGAACCGAATAGCGGATCTGTCCAGAACCAGCCTCCCACAGCGTCCCCAAGAGAAAGCAAAGCAGGACTTGCCCCTTGCAGTCTCGGAGCCTCTGTCGAGCTCCCATTGTTATCTTCAGGATGTGCCACCTCCTGTTCTTTCGAAGATATGCTTTTATTTTTCCGCTTTTGTTTTCGTTCCTATATCCCCAGGGCTGATCTCTGGAATTAGGGTCTGAGCCCACTCCAGTTACTGAGATTGTTCCTTCACGTTCAAATTGTATTGTTTAAGGTCAATCCTGTTCTATCCAGCATAACCCTGCAGAGTATCTCTTGGTTATCTGTTTTCAGTCCTTGGTAGAATAGCGGCACCCAGAGCCTTTACTGATAATGGCAAGGCATTAATGTTTTTGTTGTTGATAATTATTAATCCTTACTTTTGCTCATTTAACATGAATACAAATGCATTTATTACATGCCCACTGTGTTCTGAGGTGTGTGGGGGGGGCAGGTTAAAACTTAGATAATGTGGGGGGGGGGGGAGTAAAACACAAATGCCATAACTATAATACACAATATTACCAGATAAGGGCTTTAGAGAAATGTAGAACAGAGTATTATATCGGGGAAGGGGAGGTTGTTACAGACCAGGCAAGTTGTAAAATTGTATTTATGGGTTTGCTTTTTTTCTGTTTTGCTTTACTTTGATACAGCAGCACAACAAAGTGTATAAAGTAGCTAGGGTACTGTGCTTGGAGACTGGAAAGTCTGGGCTAAAATAGCTCTGACAGTAGCTGTGTAACACAGAGCAAGTCATTGAATCTCTACAAAGCTTACCCAACTCTCTCTCTCTCCCTCTCTCCCTCTCTCCCCCTGCCTCCTCCCTCCCTTCTTCCCTCCCTTCCTCTCTCCCTCTGTCTCTCCCTCTCTCTCTCCCTCTCAATTGCTATTTGAATTGCTGTTGGGTCTTCCCACACCAAGGCTAATGAAATCAAACAGCCTTCCTATATTGTGTGTTCTTATTCTTTTTAGAAGTGTGACTTCCATTGTCAAAATGAAACTCTAGTTATTATTTGACCACAAGGCCTTCATTCTTTAGGGGGATTCAACTTATATTTATTCAAACTTTTATTGATAAGAAACTGGAATTCAGTAGTATTTTGATACTTTTAAAGTACTTATTTGTTTTTTTTTTTTTTAATATTTAGGCCATGTTAAGTAAAAGCAGAGAACCTTATTTCTTTAGTATAAGAGGACATCTTCTCTAAGAGTCATCTTTATACTTCAATCCTTGTATGTGTTCATGGTTTGCTTCATTGATAAGAATTCCATCACTGTCTTTCATCAGTGTTTATTCTCACCCCTACATAATTTTTCACCCTGTGTTATTATTAGGCATGTTTTCTGACAAATCTTTCATAGAAGATCCTCCCAATGTGTTGGAGATCATGTGCTCTAAGAATACCTGAGTTCAAGTCCAACTTTGGAAATATATATACTGTGTGACCCTGAGCAACTCACTTCATTTCTTAGTGCTCTAACCCATTCTGTGAGACTCTAAGTAGCAGAGGAGGTGTTGACCTGTATTTGTAGAGGGACCTTCCATACCTAGGAGTTCTCTATACTAATGAAACCACAAATCTAGTCCTTATCCATATTTTTTTAACATAAAACTAAGGAGAGCCTAGAACCTCAATAGTAAAGAATAGTATTCCCTCAAGAACTAGAAGGAGGACTAATTAAGTAGTGTAATGTAACTTCAGAATATGAAATTTTCAGTAGTGTATAATGTGGCCATAAAAGATATAGTGTAAATAGAAATGTGAACTAGGATACAAGTTTTAAAGTATCAAGGATCACCACCCTTATCTAAAACTGGTGCCTCTAAATAAGTCAGTTTTCCCTTCTAGGGAAGATATACTGGGTACTTTATAACATTTTGTCCCTTGCCTTGAAAGAAGGGCAGTGGACTGCTTGTGATCTTTGGCTAATCTGATTTATTAATATTAAACTACAACTATGAATATGTGAGCCAGTCTCAACAACAATAGCTCATTCCCTCAAGGTTTATTTTTTAACCAGAACTGTTTTCATTAGTTGGATCTGGTCTGTTTGGGATTAGGCTATCATAAGAAAAACTAATAAGAGAGTAAGAGGCCAAGACCAAGGACTTTTATGGGAAAAAAAATTCCTTCGGAGGTATGAGTAGAGGGATCTGGATGTCCATTCAGCAAGATAATATTGAAACTGTCTGAGTTTACCCTTCTTTTTTGTTAGGTTTTGCAAAATAGTTAAATGCCATCTGAACATTTAGGAAAATCAGACACTGTCACAAGTTCTGGTAACCACTCTGCTCCTTCCTGACATTAGTCAAACAGGACTTCCCACCCAGGTAAGAACTCCAGATGCTTAAAGAGGAGAAAAGATTCATTTATGTCGTGATCACCATTTGTGCAGGTCAAACGAGGCTGAAATAAATCTGGTTAGATACTGCATCATTCAAAAAACTGTCATGCACTTAAGAATAGAGGTATATCTCCTATTCGAATAAAGAATTGATACAGAAGCTTAGCACAGTTCCTGACACACAGTAAGTGTTTAATAAATGTTTATTGATTGCTTGATTGATAAGAAGGGAAAACTAGAAATAGTACTTTTCTCTGTCTCTTCTCAAGCTCTCTCTGGTCCCATTTGCAGTCTGTACTGAGAGTGTGATAAAAGTGTCATAATGCATTACTGTTGTCTTGGCATATCTGAATTGAGTACTGATCAAAACATTGACCTAGACTGTTCTAAGCTTCAGGAAGATATCGCAGTACCATTTATGTTCCACTCCCACAGCTCCACTGTGTCCTTTGTATAAGAGGCTATTTTATTTTTAAGTAAGTTAAATAGGAGACCACCTTACTTGTTAAATCTTATTTTTTCTTTATTTTCAATTCCTTAGGTTAGAGCTTCAGTACTAGACCTGGGAAAATCAAAACAGGAAGCAGTGCTGACCAGCACATTATTTTCTGATTTTGTTTTGCATTTACTAATTCTTTCCACTTGAAAATTCTATCCTCCTTCAATATAATTTTAATGTGATTTGCAGTCATTGACATCTTTCTTCTTGTGAGCCTGTTCTCTCCCATATTATGTGGGATTTCTGACAGAATCTATGATTTCATCATCATGGGGATTCTTTTCACTAACTCAGAAAATAATCAATTTATCATGATCATTTATCAGATAAGTTCTAAGGAGTTGTCTGAGATATATAGTGTCTGCCTAAGATCCCATATACAGTGTCAGAGGCTAGATTTGAACAAATGGTTTTCCTGCCTCCAAAACCAGCATTCTAACCACTGTGTGAAGTGGCCTTCATATTAAGTAGCTATAATTCATTCATAAATATTCATAAATTAATAAATATTGGTCCAACACAGATTTTAATGGTTCTTATCCTCATGCAGCAAAGTTGTCTACTGGGGTAGTCTAGTAGACTAGAAAGTACATTTTGACTGGGGAGTCAGGTGATCATGGAATACAATGATTAAGTTGTCTTTTTGAGTTCACTAAGCTGAATTAAAGGAATTAGTCCCTAAAACTGGTGGCAATAGCATTTGATACTTATATTTTAAGGAAAAGATATTTTATTATTCAAGAACAGAGAAGTTATAGTACTCAGGTGTTTGGTAGGGTTATAGCATTTTTTCACAGATTTAGATCTAGAAGCAAACCTAGATTTCATCTGGTCTGATCTCCTCACTTTACAAGTGCAGAATTGAGGCCCCAAGAAAAAAAGTAATGCCCAATGTCACACAAATACTAAATTGTTGAACTGAGATGTGAATGCAGGTCTTCTGCTATCAAATTCATTACTTTCCTCATTACATTTTGCTAGTTCTTTTTCTTCTGCTTACATTCAGACAAATATAGATAATATCACCAAAAGAGAGCCATTTTAGAAAGTTAAGTACATTAAGTGATATTCAAATAAAAACGTTTAGTTGAAACTGAGCAGAACGAGGGAAACAATTTACATGATGACCAAAATAGAGTAAAGGAAAACAACACTGAAAGACTTCAGAACTTGCAACAATACAGTGTCCAGTTGTCAGAACTTCAGAGAACTAGTAGTGAAGCATGCCTACCCCCTCTTGACAAAGAAATATTGGATTACAGGTGTGGAATAAGGAATACATTTTCAGACAGCTAATGTGTAGATTTGTTTTGATTGATTGGATTGCTTGTTATGAGGAACAAGCCTATGGAGGCAAGATGAGTCATTGGGAAATGACAGGAATGTTTTTTAAAAGAACACCAACAAAGCATTTAAAAAGAAAAAAAAAACAAAATTTACAAACATAAATTATACACAAACACATACAACCAATTTGAGTTATAAAGGCATACACACAAGTATTAAGAAATTTATATTCTGAGGAATGTTGGGATTGCTGATTACAGGATGAACCTAAAGTTATTTGGGAAGGTGATGATTACGGAACATATAAACCTACATGAGATGGTTCAGAAACCACCAAGAGCAACAGTAAAAGGGACTGAATAGAAAGCCAGCGATGGAGGCCACAATAAAATGGGAGAGAAGGCCACAAACTAATTGAGTCTAAAATGTACTAAGAAGGACTTGAAGCAGGTGGAACAGATGGTCAAATGCAAAGTGAGGCAATCAGAACGTTGCTAGTCTGGAAGAGATGGAGTATTCCTTTGACTAATGCTGCAGATGCTGGATCTGATTTTAAGGTAACACTATATTCTCCATTTCCAGCCTCTCTTTCTCACTCCAGCCCCTTTACACATGCAATGAACCTCCTGACTTGGTCCTTGGAGATTACTGGAAGAAATGGAGCAATGTGTAGGTTGAGCAATAAAGGCCTCAGAGTTTGTAGAAAGGAAAAGCTATGATTTGACAAAGATAATAAATAAGAATATTCCACAATAGTGATGTAGTGGCTTACATATGGGAGGAGTGGGGTAACAAGTGATGAGGAATATGAACTAAGATGTGTGGAGGAAGGGGAGTAAAGTCAGATTCTCATGTCAAAGCTCATGCCAATTAAAGGAAACAAACATCTAATAGGTATCTACTATGTACATAATAAAATCCTAGACACTGGTTAGT